GGGAGAGTCCCTCCTAACATTCCTACCAGACCTAAAGGGTCTGGTATGAATTGGGGGGGAACCTCACGCTTTTTTTTCCCCATCTTCTGCAGACTGTAAAAAAAAACAAAAACAAAAAAAATTCTAATGTCACTTTGCTGCTCCAATAAACAAAATTTCGACTGGACTACCGCTAACGAATTTCGGGAAATCGAGAATTCGGATTCGTTTGCATTCGTTTTAGCTGTAATTCGGATGCATCAGAATTTCCGAAATTTCGTCCGAATGTCGATTTGTTTGTAGTCGTTTTAGCTGTAATTCGGAATTCAGATGCATCCGAATTTCTGAAAATTCGTCCGAATTTCGATTCAGAACAAAACGAATCGCACATGTCTACTTTCAGGAGCTTTCCGCGCCTTTTTCAGATACCGAACTCCTAAGTATTCTTATATCGTTACCAACGGCCAAGAGCCCTGGCCCGGATGGTTTCACTGTCCGATTTTATAAACGCTTCCAGGATATATTAACATCCCCTCTTCTGAACTCCTTTAACACTCTCTCATCTACGTGCTACTTTCCCCGCCAATCGCTAGAGGCTCACGTAGTGGTTCTACCCAAGCCTGGCAAGGATACCATGCACTGCAATAATTTCCGTCCCATTTCCTTGATCAATGTAGATGTTAAGCTGTATGCCAAACTCCTGGCACATCGCTTAACCGACCTGATCCCGTAGCTCATTCACAAGGATCAAGTGGGGTTTGTACCCAGGCGCAGTGCCAAGGTTAACACCAAACGCACAATCACTTTGATTCATTATGCCCACTCCCAGGGCCTTCCCTTTTGTTTGTTCTCAGTTGATGCTGAGAAAGTCAGCTGGTCATTTCTAGAGGCTTCTCTACAGCACTTGGGCCTCCCCCCTGAGTTTGTTGACAGGATCATGGCATTGTATCACCGGCCCTTTGCTAGGGTGCGGGTCAACGGAAATTAGTCGGCCCCATTCCCGATCTATAATGGCACCAGGCAGGGCTGCCCACTTTCCCCCTTGCTCTATATCTTAGTGATGGAGCACTTAGCCAATGCGATTTAGAGGCAATGACTCCGTCCGGGGACTTCAGATAGGTGGCCAAGTACATAAACTGGGCCTCTATGCGGACGACTTGCTTCTATATCTATCGAATCCTATCGTGGGCATTCCCTCCCTGATGGAGGAATTTAAACTCTTTGGCCACCTGTCCAACTATCGGGTGAACCTACAGAAGTGTGAACTACTAAATGTTTCCTTGACCCAAGCTGAGGCAGACTGTGTGAGTGGCTCTTTCAGAGATTAAAGGCAGACCTTTACTCTCTGAAATATGCCCCCTTACTACGCACCGTTGAGGATACCCTTCTCACTTGGATGAATCGGCCTCTTTAAAATGAACCTGCTTCCTCGCTGTCTCTACCTGTTCCAAACCCTCCGTCTCCCCGCCCTCTTCTTTAGCAGACTGCGGTCTGCCATCCTACGCTACATATGGAGGTGTGGCAAACCAAGGATACGATATACGGTCTTAACAATGCAGAGGGAACGAGGTGGGGCGGCGCTTCCGGACCTGGAGGTCTACTATAGAGCCACTCACTTATCACATTTGGTAGACTGGTTTGACACCAGGGACCCGGCTCTTTGGGTTTCCCTGGAGCGGGAACTGTCCCCGTCTCCTCTAGCAAATCTCCCTTGGCTCCCGTCCCAGCAACAGCCGCCTAGTTCTACGTTACCCTTCTTTCTCACCCGCTGCTCAAAGTATGGGATTCTACAAGGCTCAAATACAAATTGTGGACTTCCCGCGGCTTGATGACCCCTGTTCTGGCCCATCCGGAGTTTCCCCCTGGGTGCGGGGTCCGTAGGTTCCTGAGTTGGGAAGTGACGGCTCCTTCATACATTTTTCAGGGACTATGCGGGGGAACACTTCAGTCCTTGGCCCAATTTTTTGCCCCTGACCCTTTGCCGCTAAATGCATGGTTTGCCTACCACCAACTTCAACACTTTGTACGTAGACTTTTCTCATACGGCTCCATGCAAGACCTCCTGACTGTATTTGAACAACTATGTGCAGCAGGCGAATCCCCACCCCATCTTATATCGTTTTTATACGATTTCCTACTTTCTGGGGACCGAGGGGGATCCATGTACTTCATCTCCACGTGGGAAGATCCGGCCCTGTATATATCCAGCCTTTTCAATGTTTTATACAGCCCTGCTGCAAAAGAGCTGGATGTACGCATGTAAATCTGATCACTTGTTTCTAGATTGTTACATCATATGTAATATGTGACACATTGATTGGCATTTTGATTTTCTTCAATCCATTTATTGTTTAATCACATTCAGTGGTGGGCCTAAAGAACAAAGGGCCCTGATGCAAGATTTTT